TGGAGATTGAGATGGAAGGGGAGATGGAGATGACCAGGATGGGTGGGGATGGGACAGGAAAGGAAGGGATAGGACAGGATGGGGATGATGTGGGAGGGAATGGGGATGGAGATGGGAATAGGAAAGTGACAGGATGTAATGGGACAGAATGGGTGGGTGCAATGGGATGGGATAGAATGGGATGGGATGGGACAGGATAAGGCATAGTAGGGACAGGGTGGAAGGAGATAGGGTTGAGATTGGGATGAGGATGGTGATGGGGATAGGATGGGATAAGAAGGGGATGGGATGGGTCAGGATGGGATGTGGTGGGATGGTAGAGAAGGGGACGGGATGGGAGGGGATGGGAAGGGGACGGGATGCAGGCCAGGATGGCCCAGCTGGCAGGTCCAGGTGATGTGTTGCCTCACAGGTAGCCTATGACACAGGTGACTATTACCACTCCATCGCATGGCTGGAGGAGGCTGTCAGCCTCTTCCGCCTCTCCTATGGCAGCTGGAACCCGGAGGACCGGAGCAGCCTGGAGGATGCTCTGGACCATCTCGCCTTCTCCTACTTCATGGTACAGCCACAAGCCCCCTCCCCATCCCCACAGTGTCCATAGAGCCAAACCACAGACAGGGGATGCTGATGGCCTCTCCACTCCCCCATCCAGGCTGGAAACATCTCCCATGCCTTGAGCCTCTCCAGGGAGTTTCTCCACTATGGTATGTGGGACAACTTTGGCTGCAGAAGGATGAGGGGAGAGGTTTTGGGATGTCCCCATCAGCTCGGTGTGGCAACAGCCTCCTTCACCCCATTTCTCGCCCCCACTTGGGGCAATTCCCCAGGGAGGGGGGGTGATGGGGACATGGTATTTTGGGTGACACCACCTCTCCGGCAGATCCCAGCAACCAAAGGGTGACAAGGAACGTGGCCAAGTATGAGAAGCTGCTGGAGATGGGGACGGGGGCGAGCACCAGACCCCTGAGACGCCCCAACAGCACCCGCCTGCAGAGCCGGGACGCCTACGAGGAGCTGTGCCAGCGCCCCAGGGGGCAGGTGGGGCTAGCAGGGGGTGCCATGGTCACCCCCCAACCACTGTGTCCCACCGCCCCTTATGCCCTCCTTCATCCTCTTTCTTCCCAGCCGGCCCCAGAGCGGCTCCTGCACCTTGGCTGCTCCTATGAGACCAACAGCAGTCCCTACCTCCTCCTCCAGCCTGCCAAGAAGGAGGTGGTCCGGATCCGACCCTATGTGGCACTGTACCATGATTTCATCAGCGATGCTGAGGCTGAGACCATCAAGGGGTTGGCAGGGCCCTGGGTGAGCTGTCCCTGTCCCCAGGGATGTCTCTTCCCTGGAGGAGGGTGTCCCGAGAGCTGAATGCAGAGATAGGAGGGGTTTTAAGGCAGAGCTCATCCAAAGCCTTCTGCAAGTCCAGGCTGGACAGGGCTTGGAGAAACGTGATCTAGTGGAAGGTGTCCCTGCCCATGGAGGGGGGGTGGAACTGGCTGATCTTTAAGGTCCCTTCCAACCCAAACCAGTCAGTGATTCTATGAGACCCTTGGGTTGATAAGCCTCACAAAGGATTTTTTGGGAGAAACCAAGTTCACACATGCACCTAAACCACTTCCTGACCAAGCTTGACTTGGTGACACCCAACTGTGTTGGATCTGTAGGACACCTTGAGGTGGGGATGTTTGGCAGCCAGCTGGTAGGCGCCAACCTCGATCCTGACTGGGGTCTCTGCTTGGTGTGAGGGTCCCCATGTGCAGCAACCCTCCACCATTTGTCCTCCAGCTGCAGAGATCCGTGGTTGCCTCTGGGGAGAAGCAGCAGAAAGCCGAGTACCGGATAAGCCAGAGGTGGGAGCCACCCCCCGCCTTGTCCTCCAGCCAGTGGGGCCACCGTGGCCACCACCAAGGTGGCAGTGAAGCCACGCTGGGCAGGCTTGGTGCCTCCAGCAGTGCCACAAGGGTTAAGCCCAGCCTGAATTCAGGGGGCTGAAGGTGGGGTGGTCCCGCAGTGCGTGGCTGAAGGACACGGCTGACCCCGTGGTGAGGGCCTTGGATCGGCGCATCGCTGCCGTCACCGGCCTGGACCTGCGGCCACCCTACGCCGAGTACCTGCAAGTGGTCAACTATGGGCTGGGAGGCCACTATGAGCCACACTTCGACCACGCCACGGTCAGGGAGCTGCCTGGGTGAACCACGGGTGGGCTGTGGGGTGATGTTCCTGTGGTGCTCTTGGGGTGCTCTTTGGAGTGCTCCTGGGGTGGCCTCTGGGATGTTCCTGGAGGTGGTCCATGGGGTGGGCTCTGGAGTGGTCCCTCATGTTCCTGGAGACGGACCTTGAGGGTGGTCTTTGGGGTGATTCCTCAGATGTTCCTGAAAGTGGACCATGGGGTGGTTCCTGGAGGTGAACCCTGGGGTGGTCCTTCAGATGTTCCTGGAGATGGACCCTGGCAGGGTGGGTGGTCCCGGGATGGTGATCCCTGGGTGGGTGCCTGGGAAGGTGGGGGAGGGAGGTGAGGGAAGAGGGAAGGAAGAAGGGAGAGGAAGGGATTTCCCAGGGAGGGGGAGCTGCTTGGAACTCTTGGGGCATGAGGTGCCTCTGGGCTGAGCTGCATCAGCACTGGACTGACCGTTCCCACCTCATCGCTCTCGAAGCAGTCCAGGAAGAGCCCCCTTTACAGAATGAAGTCGGGCAACAGGATCGCCACGGTCATGATCTATGTGAGTCCTCCCTCATTCCCACACCTGGAGACATGGCCCTGACGCAGTCTCAGTAGGGTTTTCAGAGTGAACGGGGTGCAAAATGGGCAACAGCAGCCCTCAGATGCTGCAGTGGGGTGTTAAACGCCAATGTTTGGGCACTATTTTGGAGCTTGTGCTGTGGCAAAGCAAGGGAAATGCAGTTGGGGACTGAGGGAGGAGTCGTGCCTCAGTTTCCCTGTGCAGAGCAGCTAGATCTTGGGAAGAGGGACAACCACGGCTCCTGTTTTTGCTCCTTTTCCAGCTGAGTGCAGTGGAGGCTGGGGGCTCCACCGCCTTCATCTACGCCAACTTCAGCGTGCCTGTGGTCAAGGTGAGGGGGACCCACTGAACCCCCAGGAGCAGGGAAGGGGGGATGCTGCTCCCTGGATGTCAGCTCTTGCAGGGAATTGTGCTCAAGCCTGCTCTGATGCCAAACCCCAATCCCGGGGCTCCCAGCCCTGTTTTGGGGTGACAAACCTCAACCCCAGATTTCCCATCTGTGTTTTGGGATGCCAAAATCCATTCTCTGGGATCCCAGCTCTGTTTTGGGGTGCCTAACCCTGGAACTCCCAGCACTGTTTTGGGATGTCAAAATCCAGTTTCAGGGATGCCAGCAACGTTTTGGGGTGCCAAACCCCAACGCCAGGGATCCCAGCCCTGTTTTGGGGTGCCAAAATCCAGCCCTGGGGCTCCTGGCTCTCTTTGTGGGCAGTCAAACCCTGATCCCACAGCTCCCAGCTTTGTTTTGGGGTGACAAACCTCAATCCCAAGGCTCCCTGATCTATTTTGGGGTGCCAAACCCCAATCTCAGGGATCCCAGCCCTGTTTTGAGGTGCCAAAATTCAGCCTTGGGCTCTGGCTCCTTTTGAGGGGTGTCAAATCCTGCAGTTCCCAGCTCTGCTTTGGGGTGCCAAACCCTAGCCCTGGAGCTCTCACCTGTGTTTTGGGATGCCAAAATCCAGTCTCAGGGATCCCAGCTCTGCTTTAGGGTGCCAAAATCCAGTCTCTGCTCCTCAGAATGCCGCTCTTTTCTGGTGGAACCTGCGGAAGAACGGGAATGGTGATGGTGACACTCTCCACGCCGGCTGCCCTGTCCTGGCTGGGGACAAGTGGGGTGAGAGACACTGCCGGGTGTCACCCTGGGGTGACACAGGGTTGGATGGGCAGGGAACACACAAAAATCCTGGATAACAGGGAAAAAGGTCCCCAATATCAGCACAGAGTTGGAGAAGGGTGCAGAGGGACAGGGACAGACCAGGATCTGTGTCCTTGACCCCTCCAGTGGCGAATAAGTGGATCCATGAGCACGGGCAGGAGTTTCGGCGGCCATGTGGTGCTGACCCAGGGGACTGAGCCATCGTGGGATCATGGATGTGGCAAACCCATCCCAGCACAGCATGTTCCCAAGGCTGGAGTGAGAGGGAGGGAGGGAAGGAGGGAAGGGGGTGGAAGCGTAGTGGGGGGTAATCCGAGGGGCTGTCACTTGCTCAGCCACGACCAAATTGTGTGGAAATAAAGTCAAAGGGCACTAAAATGGAGTCTCTTTTGGGGTGACAAACCTAATCCTGGGGCTCCCAGAGCTGTTTTGGAATGTCAAAATCCAGTCTCAGGGATCCCAGCTCTGTTTCGGGATGACAAACCCTAACCCTGCAGCTCCCATCTGTGTTTTGGGATGCCAGAATCAAGTCTCGGATCCCAGCTCTGTTTTAGGGTGCCAAAACCTCAATCACAGTGCTCCCATCCATGTTTTAGGATGCCAAAATTCAGTCTCAGGGAGATGCCATCTCCTTCCACCCCTCCTGGCCCCCCGCCTCCCCGCAGACAGATTCCCTTTCTCCAGAGCGACCGCAGCTCCTCAGTGACTGGAAGGCCAAGAGGAGGCAGCAGGGAGCTCCAGCAGCGCCTGGAGATCGGGCAGGAGCCCCCAGCTGATCCCCCTAGGCACTTCCCAGGGGAAACAACCCGGATGAAGTGAGGGTCGAGCTGGAGGACACCATTGACACACAAACTCTGTGTCCATCCAGCCTCATCTAGGAACATTTGGATGAGATTCAAATCCTCTGGGATCCCCCCCGGCTCCCTACAGGGGTCGAGGCAACCACATCACCTCTCAGGCTCTTTCCTAGCTGGGAGAAAAAAGGACAAAAATTATTAAGGGGGAAGGAAAGAGCAGGCAGACCTCTCCCAAGGGCTATCCTGCTCACTTTCGGTTAAAATATGTGCATTTACCACTCCTTGGCTGCTTTATCCAGCCCTGGATTAACCCTTCCGTAGGCACACAGGGGTGGAGGGGAGCTGCGAGCAGTGTTCAGGCAGGACAGTGGGAGCTGGAGCACTGGGAAGAGGCTCCAGGAGCCCTTTGGGGGTCTGTTAAACCTGCCCGAGTCTGAAACAGCCTGGAAGATTTCCAATTTCCCCAGATTCCTGCTTTTTTCAAACAGGAACAACCAGGCCAGGACTCAGAGATGGTTGGACAGAGCACAGGTTACTCAGCGGCCCAAGGGCCGTGGTTTATTACTTCCAGATGTTTCTGTACACATGAGAGTTGGTCATGGAAAGGAGTGGGAAAAGCAAAAGCTGGTGCTAAATTCCCCCTTTTCCCCCACACTACAGTGCAGGGAAGGGATGGAGGAGCATTTTGGATGACAAGAGGCTTCCATGAGTCACCAGAAAAACCCAAGGCTTGGGGATGGCACAGGAACAGCTGGATCAACACCTTTCCTCCACTGGCTGCTCCGAGGAGCCCAAGTACCACAGCTGAAGGGAAAGCAGGAATTCCTACTCCAGGCTTTTCACAAATGCTTTATTTGTAGGCGAGGGAAACGGACACGGAACAAGACAGGAACAGGATGTGGCTGACACGGGACATGGCGTGTGGTCTCTGGAGAACTCACACACGCACACACACGCGCACATACACACACATTTTCCATCTGGAAATAGCAGCACGTGGTAAAAAGTCACCCTGCCAGACTGGGAATGCTCGGCCACAACCGACCAAGCATCCAACAGCAAAGCTTGGATCAAATACCTATCCCTATCCCGCTGTTTTGGGATGCCTTACGGACACGGTGTCATCAGATGGGTCACTATAGATGACACAACCAAGGGATGTAAGATTGGGCAACACAAAGGGCACTTCCAGGCTGTGAGATGGGTAGTAGATGCACCAGGGCCAGGATTTCTTGGAAGAGACAACCCATAAACTCAATTTTTTTACCTCAGCTGAAGATTCATGTCTAGATTTCCAAGAGCATGGAGCACCAGTTCAAACCAATGAATCACTGGTTGCCAGGCTCTTTTCCCAGGCCTTTCTGCTCCGAAGAGAAAAGGGAATAGTGGAAGGGAGGATAAATGTCAGTGCCAAAGTTACAGAACCAGAGTAATTTGGGTTGGGAGCAACCATAAAGCTCATCCAATTCCAACTCTCTCCCACTAGACCACATTGCTCCAAGCATCACCCAACCTGGCCTTGAACGCTTCCAGGGATGGGGAATCCACAACCTCTCTGGAAAACCAGGGCCAGAGCCTCAATTGCAAATTAACTTTTTCCTAATATCTAATCCACCCTCCTGGGGGGAATTTTTCAATGCACGGCTCCGGTTGGAATGGGCTTCCTCAGGTTTTTCAGGCCTTTCTGTGGCCAAAAAAAAGAAAAATAACAACTTTATCTATAAAGGTATTATCTTTGCAAATGCCGTCACAGCCCGAGGGGAGAATTCCATCTGGAAAACCCCAGGCCTGAATTTTCATTCCATGTTCAAGGGTTGGTTAATTCAAAGCAAGACTGCGTGCTATAGCAATAGAGGAAATAATCTTTTTCCAACAATCCCAGTGCTCCATTCAGTCACTGATGGCTTTTTCTGGTGTGTATAATCTGGCAAAACCCATCCTAGGCCTCATTTTTTCATTTATTTATTTAATTTATTAAATTAAAGCAAAGCCTGTAACAAACCAGCCTCCCAAACTGCATCTCATGCTCCTGCCAAGCCTTGGGATCTTCGACTGGGAAAGTTTCTACTGATCTTCAATCCAATAACTGGACAAAAGCAAGTGTGATTTCTAAATAACCCAAAGGCTGCAGGAAAAACACAGTGAAAAGCTGGGAGTTAGGGGGCAATTCACTCTGTGCCCCTGTTTTTCATGAGCTGAACAGAATACACCTTCTCTCTGCAGTCCCTTTTCTCACAGCCTGTGCTATCCCTCATCCAAATCCTATTTATCCCAGCCTGTAGTTCCCTGGAAACTGCAGCAGGAGCATTAATACTTCTCAGACAAAAGTACGGTCTCAAAAATGTACATGGCTTGACTGAACCAAAAGGAATTTCCCCTCCACCCACTCCCACACTGCTGCTGTCCCTGGAATTCCTTTTTTCTTTTTTTTTAAATCCAGCACCAGTCCCTGAACTATTCCCACTTATTCCAGGCAAGGCAGGGCTGGGAGCTCAGCACAGAGGGACGCACCATTAAATAGGCTGCTGAAACATTTATTTTCTTTTCACTCACCTCTCAAATGTTAAATAACAAAAAGAATCCTACGGGCCCAGAGGCCACAAAGGCCCCACAGACCCTAGAGGCCCCAAAGGCCTCACATGCCCCATAGGGCCATATACGCCCTCTAGACTACATATGTCCCATAGACTTCAAAGGCCTCACAGGCCCTATGGACCACACAGGCCCCATAGGTTACACAGGCCCCACAGACCCCATATGCCCCATAGGCTTCAAAGGCTGCATAGGCCCTACAGGCCAAACAGGCCCCATGGGCTACATAGCCCTCATCAACAGGATTCCAAAAGTCATACCTTTTCCAGTGGTGCCTGTAGAGAATACAGAACTGATCTGCTTTCCACGGAGCGTTCTGTGTGGTTGGGATTTATTTTTCAGATCTCATAAATGAAACAGATAACGCGAGGGATCCCTTGGATTCTCCAAGTTACTTACAAAGGAGGAATGTGAATTCACCAGGATCATTCAGGATTATGACCACAGGCTTAATTATCCCAGGAAGTGAGACTCTGGATACAGACACTGTATTATTTAATCCCTAAAAATTTCAACAAAGGAGTCGCCTGGAAAGGAGAATTTTACCAATTTTCAGGATATGTCTCGGGAAGGTATTATTTTGCATCTCAATTATTGAAGATCCATTGAATCCATAAGGAACAGGGTGGACATCAAGGCCACAGGAAATTAATGCAGTAATTCACAGGGTGACTTAGAGAGGAAAATGCTGGGAACCAGCAATTCCCTTTAATCACCTGATGGCCAAAGTGCCAGGAGGGAGGAGAGCTCTCTGGAATTAGCTTTTCCTGTCCCTAATCCAGGCACTTCCCACGATGATGTGTCAGAAGCAAGGCCAGGACTGCTGTGCCCAGTGAATCAGAGATGAGTGGATTTCCACCAGGCTCAAAGTTAAAGCCTTTGCCCCACCTGCACCTCTCTCAAACGCCAAGAATTCCTGATGGCTCTTGTCATGGGATATACACATGGATGCAAATGATGGCTCCCAAACTACAAAAATCATCCTACAGCAGCAAAGGGTTATGGACATCAGGCAGGAAAAAAGGGATTTCAGATATCCACTGGGAAAATATTGAGGAAAACTGCTCCAAAACATGTCTGCTCTTACACTCACGTGTGATTCTGTCTAGGGATAATTTATCCCTGAAGAAAAGCTCTCTGTGTATATGGAATTCTGGAGGGCAGGCAGCAAAATGATCCAGGAAGTGACAATGGAAAGAAGGTCCGTCCTCCAGTTCTGGGGGGAGCAGCTGCCTCACCTCTGCATCCACATCAGCAGGACTGACTCCAAGCTCTTCCAGGGTTTCACCTACAGCCATTCCAACGATGCTGAGCAATGCTTAGCTGTGTGTGGCAGCAAGAAGGGAAGCACAAACACGTGCCAGGGGCAGGAAACAGCCTGTTGGCCATGTTGTTCCTGCTGCTCTTGGGTTTTCCCCATTAGCGCAGGCCCAGAGTCCCCTTCTTGGGATGTGTCTGCAGTAGATGGAGTTATCCAGGCTATTCTTCCCAGAAAGGACTTAAAACAAGTACTAAGAAAACTGCGGGACTGAAACGGAGCTCACGGCTCCCCCTCACCTTTTTGAGTTACAATCTCATCCAACTTTTCCCAGGAAAGTGTCCTCTAGGCTCTTCCCACACCTTAACCCCTAAAGCTGGTGTTGGTGAGATGAAACCTGAGCTCTCAACAAAGCCAATTCCTCATCTGCTTTAGGGGAAAGAAAATGTGTATATATAAAACCCAAATCTAAGGGGCACTTCCAAGATGACTCCACAGAAAAATCCCGAAGCCTTTGGCTGTGCTGCAATGCCTTTGGTGGATCTGGACTGTCCATGGCCCTTCTGCAGTTGGGTCCAAGAAAGCCTGAGAATTGACGGAGATTGGTCTGATTGACTACTTGGGATTCCAGGAGGTCTTTCCTTGTGGCAGCAGAGAGGAGGATCCCACTCCCAAGGGTATGAAGAGCTTTTCATGGTCTTCAGTAGAAGCTGCTTCCCAGCAAGGAAGTCCCTAAGAATTTAGACTGGAGAACTAGTTCTAGGGATGAATCTCACACCAACTTCCCGCTGCTGCTGGACTGGGAGATGAGAGCATATGGATACATCACAGTGGCCTCTGGTGCAGTTTATTTACAACAGGAATCAGTGCTGGAGAACACCAGGATATTAACAAGCAGGAAACACACTAGGAGGAAAAAAAGAGAGTGGAAGAAAGATCCCATATTAAAATACAAGTATTCTCTGCAGATTCTGCAATACCCTAAATTTAGCTGCAAAGTCCTTTGGTCTTCTCCCTCTCTCCCAT